ACAATTTTCTATCATTAGATTGGTCCACACCCACAGTATGCATGGGCCACGTGACACTGGAAGATGACCTGCTATGTGAAGGGCTGGTTTCACAAGTGTGTTACAGAGTGAAGAAGGTTTACAGTCATTGCTTTGATATACTCTGGGAGTCTGAAATTCTGGAAAGCTATTAAATAAGCTTCTGCCACCAAAAAACGAATCCACTTACTACCAAAGGATGTTAAGCTGGGTGGATTTCTCTCTACCAGTTTCTTTGTGCCTTACTTGTGCCTCTGAAGCACTATTTTATTATTGAAGAATTCAAAACATGAAGACAAGCTGTTGAAAGTCAGAGAGGAAAGGCAACCTTGAGTTATGCCCAACAGCTATTCTGTCTCATTGATGTTAAAAATCAATTGCCCAAAGGAGCAAAGGAGAAAACCTTTCAATCACATTCTTAGATCTCATAGCATTTTACATTCGAACCTAGAGCAGGAAAGTCTGGAAAAAAAAAAAAGTGATCCTTGTATGGGAGGAAAGATCATGATCGTAGTCATTCTTTGTTCTTCTTAAAAATTGTTCATAACTTCAACCACATGACATGCAATAACTTTACTCCAATTTACCATTGTGGTTCACGAAAATTAAATTTATCATACAACTGATTTTAAATAAGGCATCTAACATATTTTAAACATGACAGAGGAAAACATATATATGTTGTCCTTTTTAAACTTCCACTTTCTATAAAATGTGTTAATAGCAAGATACTGCAGAATGGACTGAAATACATTTCAAGATCACAGAACATCTTAATCATCTTTAGAGCAGTAACTTTTTGTCAACTTGGAGCTCATTAATTTAGAAAGAAAACACAACTGAAGAGCAGACATTGATGAAGGCTATTCACTTTTCACAATATTAACATGTTAATGCTTTATTTGTACAGAAACAATAGCACTAATTACAGTGGAACCTTACAGCATTCAATGAAATATTCGTAAGCACTAAGGGCATGTATACTGATGAGCACTGAGTAATGTACAGAATTGTTCAATTGCTCTCCCAAGCTAATATAACAGTGTATGTTAATTACACTTGCATTAAAAAAATGGTAAAAACCAATTCAGTAGCACTCAGTTGACATGAAAGAAGATAATTTCAGACACTCTTAAAATGTTAGCGCCATAGAGGCAGTAAAGATAATTTAGAATATTTATCAATTTTCAAATTTGGAAACTGAGGCCCAGAGAGGTAAAGTACTCCTTACCCAAGTCTGGGCAGCTGGTTAACTATGGAGGAAGGTCTAGAACCAGGTCTCCGAGCTCCCTGTCAAATGCTCTTAATATCACACTACAGAGTACCTGAATCCCAAAGCAAATCAAATCCAGGCATGCTGTATGAATGACTGCATCATACAGTGAACTGTCCTAAGTCCTAGAAAAGAAATGGGCATAGAAAGAAGACATTGCTTTTCTTAAAGAAACTTACAGTCTTGTGAAGAAAACAAACCTGAAAAATTGTTTAAGTTGTAGTTTCAGATCTTAATTCAAGAAATAAAAATATGTGACTATTTTGCATGTTGATGGGTGTTCCCATAAAAATTAGAGGAGCTCTGAGGAAACATGACTCCTATGAGAAGGGGAGACGGAGAAATGTCGGGGGAGGAAATGGGAGTTGAATTGGATCTTGCAAACTGGGGAGGATTTGTAAGGGGAGAAAGAAAAGACGGCATTTTAGGAAGATGGAACTGTGTGAACAGATACACATTCTACTCGTATCTGTAAAGAGCTCTGCAAAACAACATACTATGTTATCACTCGTATTAGGTAAGTGATAACTGTCGCTTAGTGTAAGGGCAATTTTCATCAAGAAGAGCATTAAATGTTTATTATCTGTCCTGGTGAACTGGGAAAAAAGATAGGATCTGGGAACAATGAATGCAATGCTTTATTTACAGCTGACCCTTGAACAACGTGGGTTTGAACTGCGCAGGTCCACTTATACACAGGCTTTTTTTCAATAAGCACAGCGCAGCACTGTAAATATATCTTCTCTTATTATTTTCTTAATAACATCTTCTTTCTCTAGCTTCCTTGATTGTGAGAATACAGTATATAATATATATAATACACAAAATATATGCTAATCAACTGTTTATGTTATCAGTAAGGCATCCAGTCAACAGTAGGCTGTTACATTTTGGGGGAGTCCATATGTGGATTTCTGATTGCACAGATGGTCAGCACCCCTACCCCCCACATTGTTCAAGGGTCAACTGTATTTGCTTACTTATACCTCATTATTCCACAAAGAAATTGAGGTAGCTTTAAAAATTGGAAATAAACTAAGGAAAATGATAAGCCCAGGAATAAAAGCAGCACCCACAGAAAAGCAGACTATACAGTCCAGATGGCTGTTAGTCAGAGGTGGGGGCCAGAGGGATGGAAATAGAGTTGACCCTTTTCAGCATTTACAAGACTTTTCCTGCGTTAGATTAAAAATAAGGCAAAAAGCTTGCAATTCAGAAGAAGTGGAGCATTTCCTAATACTGAGATGAGAGAAATTTCTCCTGAGTCCTCATAAAGAAGCCACTGAATGATGCAGTAGGTGCTGTCCTTAACCCCACCCACCCCTGAGTCTATAGTTATGAAGAGTAATTTCACATGGTGGTCCTCATACTGCCACTCAGTGTAGGACAAATACATCACATTTAGGTATAACCATTTACAAAACAGTGTGGCCCACATGCTTGGTCCTCCCATAATAGAAGAGGAAAATTTAGACTATGTACTGGATTGGAGGGACTATATATTCTTCAGTTCATATGGATTCATTTATTCACTCAAAATTTATTGATTGCATACAACGTGACAGACTTGGGAATATAGCCATGAATAGAAGGGATGGTCATGCTCGTGAGTTAAATATTCTAGTGGTGAGAGAAGGATCATAGACAAACATATGTCAGGGGCGCCGGGGGGGCTCAGTCATTTAAGCGTCTGCCTTTGGCTCAGGTCATAATCCCGGAGTCCCAGGATTGAGTCCCACATTGGGCTCCCTGCTCAGCGGGGAGTCTGCTTCTCCCTCTACGCACCACCCCCTGCCCCCAGCTCATGCTCTCTCTCTCTCAAATAAATAAAATCTTAAAAAAAAAAAAAAAAACATATGTTAAATGATGATAAATGCTATTGGGAAAAATAAGGCAGGACAAGGTGCGAGAGAACACGATGGGCCGTGTGAGGTTGGTAGTTAGAAAGGGTAATCACAGACAAGCCCTCTGATGGGGTCATGTTCGTGCAGAAACCAGCGTGATAGGAGGAAGGACACTCTACGACGTCTGGGAGAGAAGTGCTGCAGGCAAAGGGAACAGTTAGTGCGAAGGCCCCAGAAGAGAAGCATGCTTGGCATGTCTGAGTAATGGCACGACACCCAGCCAGGCAGAGGCAGGGGAAAGGTCTTATGAAAATGAACGAACCAGGAGAAGGTGAGAAAAAGGAACAATGGCAGAGTCAATCTTTGCTTCAGAAATCTCCTATTGTGTCTGTTTCAACACAAGAAGGTAGTTGAGGATGGCCAGTGTACACCATAGAACATGTCCATCCTTCTGTCAGCTTAACCACTATGCTAAAACATGCCCTGAAATCACCCACCACAGGCATGGGCTTTTGTCTAAAGCCCAACTACACTATATGGAGAATATTAGAGCATGAAAACTAAGCATATAATTTCTGACACTTAAATATCCACAGAAAGTTCTAAATTGGCTTCCTGGTGAAACCTCCAAAGTTTTTTGAATGCAAATCGCACCTTTATGTAACTGACATGCAGTATCAAATCATTCATTACATTTAAGCCAACGGAATGCTACAGGGCACCTTTTGAAGGTGTTGACTTTGATTTTAAAAGACAATCTGGCAATTGTGTGATAGGAGAATCCACTGTCTATTGAAGGCGCTTATGTGTGTCAATAAAACAGTATCATCAATTTAGAGAAGACCATTTATGTTTGTTTCCCCTTAGCAGGGGACATGCATCCAGAATGCTGAAAAATAGTATCCGATCATTTAGACACAAGCGAAGAGAAGGAGTGGAATAAAAAATATCCCTTTATGCCATGAGAAATGTTGTCTCTTCAGAGCCTGTTCTATAAGACTCATGTAATCTTTTAACAGGTACTGAGACACAGGATCTATTAAGATTATCAATAATTGGGGGCTCCTGGGTGGCTCAGTCGTTAAGCGTCTGCCTTTGGCTCAGGTCATGATCCCAGGGTCCTGGGATCGAGCCTCGCATCGGGCTCCCTGCTCAGCGGGAAGCCTGCTTCTCCCTCTCCCACTCCCTCTGCTTGTGTTCCCTCTCTCGCTGTCTCTCTCTCTCTGTCAAATAAATAAATAAAATCTTAAAAAATAAAAAAAGATTATCAATAATTGGTTGCATATTGAGTTTGGAGATCTGACTTTATCAGCAATTCCCCAGAAAAAAATGTAAGTAAATAGCAATAAAATTAGCAAATATTGTGTATTGTTCATTCATTTATTTAAATTTAACTTAAAATTTTTTTTAATTTTTTAAAAAATATTTTATTTATTTGAGAGAAAAGCACAAAGGGAGTGTGACAGGGAGAAGCAGACTCCCCACTGGGCAGAGAGCCTGATGTGGGGCTCAATCCCAGGACCCTGAGATCATGACCTGAGCCAAAGGCAGACGCTTAACCAACTGAGCCACCCAGGTGTCCCTTGTGTATTGTTCTTGACAGATTCTGTCTCAAAGTGACATAGAATACATCAATGACCTCTAATGGACCATCTTTGTCTAAAGGCTACCTTCACTACACCGGGGATTTTGGAGTAAGAAAGCTATGCTTGTAATTTCTGGCAAGAAGGAAACTGACATAGAGATTGGTTGTCCAATATGAGTCTACAAATTGAACCATCAGTACCAAAATCTGGATAATATTAATATATACATTCAATAGTAAAAATTTTTAAAAATCTGTGAAGTTCAAAGGACACAATTACCTGCTCAGCCAACAATGAAGCTAAGCTAGAATACGCATCTGCAAACTCGGGACCATATTTAATGGAGTCCTTCAGTAAGGAGATAGCCTCTTCCTTTTTCTCCTGGAACCTAGAGATTATAAAGAGGGAAAAAAAAACAACATCTTTTAATAACACTTTGTTTAAATCCTCTGATTGACATTGAAATCTCATTTCTTTTAGCAAAGATAACCTGATTCCCTCTGGATTTCACTGCAAATGAATTAAACTAGATTGTCTTAAGGTGCCAACAGTTTCTGTCTCTGAATTCTCAGCGGAAAGAGATGTAAATGATGCTGCAGTTTATTCACTGATTTTTCTACCTTCTCTTTCCTGATATGCACTTTCTTGAGAGCTTTCTTTAATATTTTAGAAGTTTGTTAACCAGAAACCTTGACACTCAGAGGAGCAATTGTGGAGGCATCCATGGGAGCTGGTTTACAATGATGTGGAAGATGAGCTGAACCCCTGGAGTATTAGTTGGACCCCCACAGGCTGGGCTCCAAACAGCGGCTGAGCCACCTCTCAGGGACAAGACAGCCAAACTGCTCACGTTAATCTTGGTTTTTATATCTAAGAGGCATCCATTTATACATAATATGTGAAGTTAGGAAATACTGTGACTACTGGCTGGCAAAGAATGATCGGCAATTTTATCATCATATTTTTATTGAAAATCTGGGCTGGTTCTGTTTTCTTCATTTTAGTCTTCTCCTGAAGGTGATTATTTCAGGTTCAGAGAGGACTCAAGGTCCCAAAGTTATTACCAGTATTTTGGGTGGCAGTTCTCTTTCCTGCTAGTGCCATGGGGGAAGCACTAGGTCATTATCTTGATATATCAATATTTTTGAAGCCAAAAATATACACTGGCAGTGACCAATTTTGCTACTAATACAATTTCACAAACACCGACCACTTGCTAAGTGCTAGACATTGTAATTGGTAAAAGAACTGGAATGAAAAACCAGAATCCCTGAACTATAGAGAGCGCAGAGCCTAAGGGTTCCCCCACCTTTACTGGGTACCAATATAGGATTGGGTGCTTCTGTTTTCACTATTTAGGGTCAACGATCATTTATTCAGCAATGTACCTTATGCTCTGGTAAATTTTCACATAACAGTATTAATTTTCACAACAATCCCATGCAGCAGGTGTTCATTGCCTATCATATTCATTTTTTCTAATGAGAAAATCTGGATTCAGAAAAGCTGAGTGACTCATCAGGTTGGTATAACCAGTCTTCTGGGTCAAGAGCTGGTGCTCCTCCATCACACCATATCTGCTTCTTCTAACTACTACTTAGAAACCCACCTCTTATAACCAGCAAGGTGTTGTGTGTGTGTGATGCATGGACCAGTATCATCAACCTCACCAGGAACTTAGAAATGCAGAGCCTCCAGCCCCATCCAGGCCTCCTGAATCGAACCCTACATTTTAAAAAGATTCTCTGGTAATTTGTGTACACACTGAGATTTCAGCAGAATTGCTCCATAAATTAGCCAAGGCAGCTCAGTGTAGCTCCTGCTGCAAACCCGCCATGGCTTCGGTCTCTGTATGAGGAAGATCTGGAGAGGGAAAACTAATACTGACTCCATGAGTTTGAGCTCCAGGTGCTAGAAGCAGCATGCTGCAAGGCAATTTTACCTGGAAAAGAGTCTTCTATCATAGACCTTGAAAACAAAAAAGTCGTGTTTCCAGCACAGGCTTTGCATTCAACGGTTCAATTTAGCCAACATCTATCATTGGTCTACGACGTGTTAGCTATTCCTTAAGGGAGGTGGCTGTCCACGCTACCCTCCTCTTACTGGGGGTGAGCTCACTCCTACTGGGCTCCTCTTGACGCACAGTCCAGCCCTTGAGAGCAAGGCGTAACACCTGTGTGCTTCACTGGATTATTTTGGGGATGTGGCTTGAAAGTTGCAGGGTTCTAAGAAATGTGCATCACAGCTCTCTTAGTGACGCTTTTTTTTTTTTTTTTTTTTACTGATTCATTCATTTAGTCAACAAACATTTAAAGAGTGTCTGTAAGACTCTACAGAAGTCCACTATGTTCACATACCCCTGGGTTTCTAAACTAAAATACACCTTGAAGTACTTCTTCCATGGGCACATGTAAATGAAAGCTTATTTTTTTTAATCCTGGTAATTTGACTATTGATTTCATGGTTAGCAGATTTCTTCCTCCAAGGATTTCATAAATCTTTTGTATTTTTAAGATTTATTTATTTTAGAGGGGGAGGGGCAGAAGGAGAGGGAGAGAGAGTCTCCCCAGGCAGGGGGCTCAACCTCACAACCCTCAGACCATAACCCAAGCTGAAACCAAGAGTCAGACGCTTAACCAACTGCGCCACCCAGGCTCCCCTCCTTTATTAACATTAATTTGGAAATCCTCCCAAAATCCACAAGAAGATTCGGACTTAGGAAATTAAGGCTGAAGGTTAAGTCCCTCAGGATATAACGTGAGCTTGGATATTCTTCAAAATCAGCAGAAAAAACCCCCACAACAATTTGATAGAAAGGATGTAGTGATTTTCATTTGTCATGGCTCACATCAGTTAGAATGGCAACTTAAACCTTTTATATATGAATTCAGTGAGATTAATTACCACTTAATGCAGTCTAGGAATCTAAACACTTGAGGCTATCTATTAACATTCATAAGACACAGTGGAAGAGTTAGCAACAAAGTTATTCACAGGGAACTTAATTCTTTAGGAAAAACTCTATCTCTATTAATCTCTTGAGGGATGGACACATTTTCAGAAAAATAGCTCACCATGTAATTTTGGTTAGTATAGGAGTATTGCAAAATGCAAAGACAAGACATTTCCTCTTGTCTCTGCACTCTCGGATGATTCTGCTTTTCCCTGGGAGCCTTTGAGAGTCATTAGACACCAACAGGTATCAGGCACATGCCATCTTAACACATATTTTAAAATGTTTTTTTACAAAAGCCTGAGAAACTCATAAGCAGTAATTTTGTTGTTGTTTCTGAAAGGGAGAGAAATCGTGGGAAGAGACAGTTCCTCTGTTGTGTCTCCTTTGCTCAGCCTTTGGTGGGAGCTTATGAAATAGATGTGTTTTTTTTTTTTTTTAAAGATTTTATTTATTTATTTGAGAGAGAGAATGAAATAGAGAGAGAGAGAGAGAGCATGAGAGGGGGGAGGGTCCGAGGGAGAAGCAGACTCACTGCTGAGCAGGGAGCCCGATGCGGGACTCGATCCCGGGACTCCAGGATCATGACCTGAGCCGAAGGCAATTGCTTAACCAACTGAGCCACCCAGGCGCCCCAATAGATGTGGTTTTGACATAATAGCTTAGAGCAGATAATTCATCTCCACAGGACCTTCTTTGGTCATATAGTACCGTGACTACCACGTGAGCATTGAACTTCATTTCAACCTGATTCTGGTTTCAGAGGCATCCCTTTTCATATCCACATTACAGCCCATGTTTCTCTACTAATTTTCTCATATCAATTAAAAATTGGCGGCAATATTCCTGCAATTCTCTCGACTAGACTGCCCTTGCTCAGTTTTGCTTGCTCACACCGTCGTTCCCAACTTGTTTCTAGTTCCCTCTGTCTTCTCTTACTACATGCAGACAACTGACAGGTACATTTTTTCTAGAGCACTGCCTTCAACACGGTCTTTTATATAAAAATCTTCATTAAGGCCCGGCTGCATACAGATAGACTGTTTAAAACCTTCCATAAAGTGGTTCTGAGCAACATTCCAAACATGACCAGGTACCCACGGGTCCAGCCAGACTGCGTGGACTTTGGCATTTATCCTACAGAACCTAAGAGATCACGGATCCCACTGCTTTTCTACCCTCAGTGTACCTCAAAATCACTTCAGGTGCTTTTAAAAAAGACCTTGGTGTTCCTGGGCCAGACCTCATAATAGGAAATTCTCCATGTGAATATGATAGCCATTCAGAATTGAGAATTATGGGTATAATTCATCCTCCTCGATTTACAGCGGGGGGAAATGAGATTCCGAGGACCTGGGCGATCTGCCCTGGTCCACGCAAGAAGGCCGGCCTCACGGAGGTCTTGTGCCTCTCGGCCGGGCATCCATGCCAAGCCGCTTCACAGACGGCTTTCCCCTCCTCTCTGCCCCGACTCACCAGCTCAAAGCATGATCCCTCATCAGACCTCCTAAATACATAACAAAAGTGGAAAACAGAGATATGTTCTCTTTCTTATATGTTGGTTTTCTTCCTGTATCTCTGTAAGGAAGAAAGACAGCGGAGGAATGGCCGTCCGGAAGCCCTGTTCTGGCCTCCAAAGGGGCAGCTGCCCTTTGTTCTTCAGCTCAACATTCCAGAGTATCTGGGCTCCAGCGCACTTTTCTTCTCCAAGGCCCCAGCGCAGCACAGAGGGGCCCCTGCCCCTGCCTCGCGGAGGGGGCACGTCCCTCCACCCGTGAGCAAGCAAGCGTCGACGCTTCCCGTTTCCCAGTAGCTGTTTGTTGGACACTTACTCTCTGCTAAGGACACAGTAAGTGATTCTTTGGCATTCTTTATTTTAATTCTCTTTCAGTATAATGGATTAGGCGTAATTACTGCCATTTTTAAGATTTAGACGACAATACCGGCAACCAACACCCGAATAAAAATAGATTTGGAGAGCTAAGGGATGTGCGCCCAGCACACAGCTACTGTGACACCAGCATTCTCATCGAGAACTTCGAATCTGTCTCGTTCCACGCGCCAGCCACACTCAGTAAGTCTGCGTTCACTCTCTTAAATGTGAGGTGCTCTGAGACCTCCTTCATAGGCAAGACCCATGTCTTACTAATCTTCTTTTATCCCAGTGATCTGTACATAGTAGAAATTCAATAATTTTAGTAAAGTGACCTGTACATAGTAGCAATTCAGTAATTGCTAAATTAATTTAAAAAACAAACAAACATGGTTTTACTATTCTTATTCCTAATCTCTGTAAATCTTAAATAAGCATTTCAGTATCCTAATCGAGTTAGAGGTAGGTAATATTATCATCCATTTTATATCTCCATTTCTACAGCTCTTTCAATATTATAGAAGTAATCCTAAGGAAGACAGAAGCATCCTAACCTTTAGAA